AGAACCATATCAAAAGTTTCATTGGAGATCATAAGTCACAAGGAATGGATGCATCTGCGCCACTGAGAACGATTTTGAGCCATGTCACCAATTGTTTCCAACCGGTGATTGGTTTTTACCGTCCCGAGGACCCAACCCTGGAAGTCTACACCTTCCTACGCGGCTTAGACCAACTGTTGTGGATTTCATTGACTGGTGTAGCCATGTTTAGGTTTGACCACCGCTAGCTTTTTTCCAGCCTGACCCTACATCCGCTAACATTCCTCGTCGAGGGAGGCGATGGCTTGACATACGTGACACATTTCCTAACCATCTCAGTCTTTGTAGCTTTACGACTTCGTCGATTGATTTCCCCTGTTTACCTAGCACTCGACGCCTAACTTCAATGTTGCTCACCTTATTATGCCACTTTACACGGGAAATAGAGCGCAGGCACCTGTGATCAAAGACAGCTAGTCTTTTCATGTCTTCCACTCTCGGTGGCCAGGTCTCACAACCATAAAGGAGGACGGAGCGGACTGATGAGCAGTACACCCGCCCTTTGGTCGATAGCCAGTCGGATATCGCATCTACGCCAGAGACAGCGTAAACTGGCATGTGCGAAACTAACCCTCTGTATGCGTTCTGAGATTTCGTCAGAGATCAACCCGTTGACGTTGGCTGATGGTACTTCCTAAATAAGTGAAGCGGTCAACGTGCTCTGTCACTTCACGTCCTATTTTTAAACTAGGCGTCGATGTAGTCCAGTCCTGTAACATCAACTTGCATTTGGCGGGAGCGAATCGCATGCCAAACATTCGTAGATTGCAGCTCAAGGTGTTTAGAAGACTCTGCATTTTGTCAGCGTCTTCGCCTAGAAGGGGTATATCGTCTGCATATTCCAAGTCAACGAGATTATTCCCCGGTAGCAAGTCAATCCCTGAGTCGCTGAAGTCACCTGGGGTTAAGTCCATTAACACATCTATGATGAAGTTGAATAGAAAAGGAGATAATGGGCATCCTTGACGGACATCACTTGTCGTTATCAGTTCAGATGACAGCTCGCCGTAAGCCCTCACCTGGCTGTATGAGTACGAGTAGAGTGCCTTAATCAGTGCGATATATTTTCTCGGAATTCCCTTTACAGCCAAGCATCTCCAGAGAACTTCCCGATCGACAGAGTCGAATGCTGCCTTTAGGTCGAGAAATATAATGACTGTTGGACGCCGGTAGGAATGCGTATGTTCTAGAATCTGTCGGAGGGTGAAGATATGATCAATACACCCTCTTCCTGGTCTAAAGCCTGCCTGGCTCTCTCGTGTTTGTGCTTCCCGAGCACCACTCAGTCTACGCATGATTATTGAGCCTGACTTTAGATACTATATTAGTCAAGCTAATCCCTCTGTGATTATCACAGGAAGACTTGTCTCCTTCTTGTATATGGGGATAATCAGTGAATTACACCAACCCGATGGGAACTTCTTGGCTTGCAGACAGCTTTCGCCACAAATGAATTGACCAACAGTTGAATACACTACAGACTTTCATCAGCAGATGTCATCAGTTGATACTGTATATCAGGTAACCTACCAGTCAGAGAGAGTAAACAACAAAGAACTCTGAAAGTTAGCCAACTAGGAGGGAAGATCTTCAACTGACACCGCATGCCAATGTCTTGAGTGGTACTCGAATGAGAAACCGACGAGATAAGTGCGGGTTTAACGATGACATCGTGAAGATTGTGTGAAGATGGGATGAGAGCTTGTGGGTGACTTTGGAGCCAACTAAATAAGACTTTTTAAGCTCTATGTTTCACTGAAGGGAATGATAATGTAACAGCAGAAGACAACGGCCAGGCAATAGATCGTTTATTTAGGAAATCGACACATATTTATAGATTTTCATGTACATTATTATAGATTATTGTAAGCAAACTAACACAGTCTTCTGATTGGTGGTTTCTCGCTGAACGTTAATCTTTCATCTCTTTGTGGTTGTTTCTTGAAGTTCAGATTATCTATCTGCAAATTGTATCCGCCTACGGAAACAAAGTCTTCTGTGATTGGTTGTAGAGTCAGTCTTTGTTTTTGTTATTTTTCTCATGACCAATACTGGGGATGTGAACAATGACGTAAATTACTGTCTACCAATTTCGGCTAGCATCCAGCTGTCACCACAGTAATAATAATTATCATCATAAAAGGTGTCGATCTAGGAGACATACTGAGGGAAATATCAAATGAAGACATTTTCCTCTATGCATATCAAAGACAGAAAATTAAACTCACATGCATATTAAGTGTTAAACGCATACTATATTAGATATATACATATATTTACTGTGATTGATTGACTGAGATAATTGTGGCTTTTAAACCAATAAGTTAGTTCTAGGTCCAAAGTCTGCTTCATCTAATATAAAAATCAACTAAGCCGTAACTTAGCTACACTATTGTAAAATCACTATGAAATATTGATAATTTATGTGTTTGCATATGAATAATGTGGGAAACACGTTACCTACAACAGATTTTCATTTACTCGTCAGTGGACCTTATTCATTATGTAATGCCTGTGAAGCTGCTTCTCATTTCTCCACAATGGGGGGGGGGGGTTCTAACTCGAAATTCTTTGACTGAAAGTCGAGTCCATCAGCCACATCTCTGTTAGCATATATTGTTGTTGAACGATTGAAGAGAGTTCGCAGGATGTCTTGGACATTGGTATCGTATTGTTGGTACTCACCAGTCAGCGAGGTGTAGTATCTACAGTCTTGAAAATAAGTTATTTCCCTTCTGATATTCGAACTGAGATCATCAAGTGAGTTCTGCAGTCAGAGATGACATTATCACTGATCTCTTTTGTAGGACTATACTGGGTACTTTCGTTGGACTTTTGATGGTAACCAATGTCATGCGTCTAATCCTTGGTGTTGCTGCAGACTGAGTTCTTCCAAGAAATCAGGAAGAGAATCTCTGGACAATGGAAGCTGATTGCCTCCAACCATTTTTTAAGAAAAATTCACGAGCACACTGTAATGGCGAGCCTTTTGGCATGGTGACCATATTGCAAACTTGGGTAATAGAATTCAATCTGTACCAACATAAAGGTCTGAACTTCATGGCATGGGTGTCCAATATTCACATATATGTATTCAACGGTGCACACATTAAAATGGAAAAACATATAGGGCTTGGTAATACCGCGTGGTTCTTAGGGTTACCACAAGTGCATATCAATTACAAGATGGGTGAAAAACCATATATATGTAATTGTATGACTTTAGAAACTTAACTTGTGTTAAACAGGTAATGTCTCATCAGTTTTCCCGTACGTAAATAAGACAGATTTAATATTAGAAAAACTAAGACAAAAAGTTCAGCGTAGACGGCTTCATTTTCTTCAGCATGCACCATCGCATTCGATTTACACTTTTTTCCTGCAAAACAGCGAATCATAACTAAAGTGGTAATCATGATTATAACAACTCGTCAGATTTATTACTGTCCTGTTTTGTGAATTGAAAAATGGTATATAAATGCTTTCGTACAGCTGAGGAGAGTGAAGTCACTGCGAAAAGAACCTCTACGCTGAACTACTAATTTTTTCTCATTGATGCCTGCATGAAGGTTAATCATAAAACAGATTTATGTCAGACGTAATTTCTGGCTTCTTCACTTACTGTTAGTGTAGAGGTTCTTTGCTAGTTGACTACGTGTACTTAAATTGGTTTGCATGCTTCTTCTCTTTACATACTTTACGTAAGCATTTAGAAATCAGTGAGTGAGGTTTTTAGGAACCTCCTACCAGAGTAGCTGTTCATTTCTCTTATAAATACGAAGAATAATTATTTAAAATCACTGTATTCCACTGCGTTCCACCTGCAGCGTATGTCTTCAAGCTGTCGTAATGGCTCTAACTGGTTTATTCAGGAAGGTACGGGAGACAAAGAGTCTAGCATCAATGTGGAACGAAGCCATTATCGTCCTCATCTTTAAAAAGGGTTGATGTAATTCATTTGACAACCACAGGAGTATCAGTTTGCTACCAGTTGCGTCTACAATATTGGCTGCTGTTTTCCTCCGCAGACTGTGCAAACACGTGAAAGATTGATTCGCGAAGAGTAGGCTGGATTTCGTTCAGGTCGAGGATGCATTGATCATGTGTTCACCCTTCGTCAGTTGTTGGAACACCGCCACATGTATTGCAGGCCAACAATCGTTGTGTTTCTTGATATTAGGGCTGCCTTCGATTCGTTGGACAGAACTGTGCTCTGGAACTATCTGTTAGAGAGAAATGTACCTGATAAGTTTGTTAATATCTTGAAAACCCTATACCGAAACACCTCGGGTAGACTGAGGGGATACAACCAACTATCACAACTGTTTGCAGCTAACAGTGGGGTTAGACAGGGTTGCCCAATTTCTCCATTTCTCTTTACCTTTGCCATCGATGACATTCTGGAGTCAGCTCTGAAGGATGTTTGTGAAGGTGGTGTAGATCTGTTCCCTGGAGATAGACTTTTCGACCTCGAGTATGCAGAGGATATCGTCTTACTGTGCCATAGCGTTCAGGCTGCTCAAATCGCACTTAATCAGTTGGCGATCAGTGTCTGTAAGTATGGTATGTGCTTTGCACCGTCTAAGTGCAAAGTACTGTTGCAAAATTGGCAGGAGCCTGCACCTGCACTCACTCTTGCAGGTGAACCGCTTGAAGTTGTTGATAAGTTTGTGTATCTGGGTAGTTGTGTTGAGTGCTGACAGAGGCGTGATGGATGAGATTTCCAACCGTATCACGAAGGCTAGGCACCGTCGCGAAGTTAGGCTGGCTGTCAAAGGTCGGGTAAACAATGCTACGGTGCGGGCTGTCTTGCTCTACGCCTGTGAAAACAGGCTCCTCCGAACTGAGGATGTGCGATGGCTCTGCGTGTTTGATCATCACTGTGTATGATATTTCTTGCCAAAGTATTGATTTCTGTTGTATTGTTTCTTCTTATTTTTATTTATCCCTTTCTCTTATAGAATGGTGGTATGGCAGTTATATGTGGTTCTAGAGCACATTTAGAAGAACAAGCAATTGCTAAACGTCATCCACTAAGAAATTTACTTATGTATGGATTTAAATTGTTTGTTTGGCTTGTTTGTGTTCGTGGAGTTCGTGATACCCAGTGTGGATTTAAATTATTCAGTAGACCTGCTGCTCGTGTACTATTTCATAATTTACATGTTGAACGTTGGGCATTTGATGTAGACCTCTTATATTTAGCTAAACATTTTGAAATGAATATAGTTGAAATACCTGTTCATTGGAAAGAAATTCCAGGTAAGTCGTTTTCTTTTGTTAGTTTCTTTGTTTGAATTATCAACTTGAATGAAGTTTTAAAATATCTTTTTTTTCTTCTAAAATGTGTTCAATTTTTGCATGAATAGGAGTTAGCTTTCATAAAAGCTTTCTAGTAATCTAAAAGTGTAGTTTAGTGGATAGTGACTAAAGCAGTTTAATCCAGCACATGTATTTCCTCCCATTTGGGCCTTTTCAACAGGATGTGCGCCTGCATTCTCCAGTGAGTGATGCTGTTCCCATTGAGGCTGGAACCCCGGTACGCAGGTTTTCAAAGTGTTATCCAGTAGACCATCTGGGCAATGGCAGTTGCCACCTCTTTTGAAACGGATGTCAGTTATTTCTTTTTTAAAGTCATTTTTAATATTCCCGTTGACTGATTGGGTTGAAATGTTCAACCTCAGGTTGTTATGTTGCCTCCTAGTTCAGACGCTTCAATGATGTCCCTTGAGCTCCGAGCAGAGCGGCATATAGGGCTTCAGTGGCACGTCTCCATTTGTTTCGTTAAGCTAGTTCATCGATTGCCGTTAGCTTTCATCTTCGACCCACAAAGTCTCCTCTATGTTACTTTCGGACCAAGGCTCAACTCGTTTCCCATTGAGATTCCACTTGACTGCCCGCTTGACGATCTTTTCGGATTGTATTCATTCAATCCGCATTTTGCTTTTGCTTAGTTTATTAGTTAGTTCTAAACTCAAAATATAAGAAAAGGTAGGGTGTGAAACTACCAACGACCTTGCCTTACACCGGAAAATCAATCTAATCAATATAGAGAAACTTTTCAAGCATAGAAAGAAAAAAATACTACAAGAAAATAGACTTCAGACATTGTGGTAGAACATAGTTCGATTTTAGTTCATTAATTAATTATGTAGAATCATAATTGTTTTAAAAAGACATGTATTATGTTTTACTGTGGTCGTCCCACCCTGTAGTAATTTGAAAGCGGTGGCTTAATTTAACTCTAATAGCAAAACTAATCATAAGTTGGTGAATAAAGAAGAAAATTTACAGCTAAAAAGTATGATATTAGATTGAACATGTTGTTGAGTAGTTGTTCACATAAATCTGATGTTAATGGTATGATCATTGATATAAGAATAAAACTTGTGCACTGTGGTAGAGTGTAATTCCATTGTTGATCAAATTTATTTTGATAAAATCTCACAGTATTATACATTTCAAGCACAATTTACTGCCCCTCATAATCATATTAAGATAATCACACAACTTCCCAACTTCGTTTATATAATTCCATCATTATTTTTCATCGCTTGATTTGATTGGTAGTAGTATTTCCCATATTTCGGGTATGAGTGATGAATCATTTCTATCGCATGTGTTAGGTGTAGACTCGATGAACAAGGATTCAGTAATCAACCTCTCTCTCTCTCTCCGCTTATCTAGATTACTTTTTAGAATTTTAACCCTCTCCCACCATGCTATTGTGTGTTAATGCATGCATGCAGTGCGATTGCTGAGCTTGTTCTGTCTGAGTGAGTTTGTAGATTTAAATGCCACCCTAATTCCTGCTTTATTTAGAATCCTACGTAGGGTCTCAGACGTCCCTTCTTTATATGGTATAACTGTAGATGACTTATATTCTCTCTTATTTTGTTATTATTACTAGTTTCACAATTATAGACAAACTGAAAGTGTAGCGATGGGATCATCAATATCCTCTATCGTAACAGATATATTTATGCACAGCTGGGAAAATATTGCTCTTAACACAACATTTAATCCTACTCCAAAGATAATATGCTGGAGATATGTGGATGAAACTGCACAGTGTTAAAAAACAGAACATATCTCTAGCTTCTTCAAACACACTCATAAACTCACTAGTAAAGGGAATAAAATTCACGTTTGAAACTGAAAATGAACAAGGAGAATTAGCCACGTTATATTGTAAAATAAAACGAATAGAAGAAGGCAAACTACACACTAGTGTTTATAGAAAACCAACGCATTCTAATAGATATTTAGACTTTAATTCGTCTCATCCACTAACTGTTAAGGCAGGCCTAGTTAAGTGTTTAACAAACCGAGTAATAGCCCTAAGTAGTACAAAAAAAGACCTGAACGATGAAATAAAACAAATATAAGAGGCGTTGGTGTTAAAAAAAACTACCCTTTGAAATTCATTAGGAAGATTGAAAAAGACCAAAAGCAGTATAAAAATAATTGTGGAACTAGTAATAATAACATAAATAAGAGAGAATATAAGTCATCTACAGTTATACCATATAAAGAAGGGACGTCTGAGACCCTACGTAGGATTCTAAATAAAGCAGGAATTAGGGTGGCATTTAAATCTACAAACTCACTCAGACAGAACAAGCTCAGCAATCGCACTGCATGCATGCATTAACACACAATAGCATGGTGGGAGAGGGTTAAAATTCTAAAAAGTAATCTAGATAAGCGGAGAGAGAGAGGTTGATTACTGAATCCTTGTTCATCGAGTCTACACCTAACACATGCGATAGAAATGATTCATCACTCATACCTGAAATATGGGAAATACTATTTATTATTATTATTGTATCCTTTAGTTCCTAGAGGAACATAGGGCTTCAGCTGCGCACCTCCATTGACTTCGGTTTTCTGACAACTTTTTCACCCTGCTCCAGGTCTGTCCACATGCTTTCATCTCCTCCTCGCATGACCTCCTCCAAGTCACCCTTGGACGACCAACTCGCCGCCTCCCTTTCGGGTTCCACTCGAGGGCTTGTCTAGTGATGTCACTTGATGGTTTCCTCAGCGTATGGCCAATCCATCTCCATTTCTTTCTGCCTATTTGTTTCACAATCGGTTCCTGATTGGTTCGCTCCCAGAGATCCCTGTTGCTGATCTTTTCTGGCCATCTGATCTTGAGTATTGAGCGGAGACAGTTGTTAATGAAGGTTTGAAGTTTGTTTGAGATGCTCTTTATGACTCGCCAAGTCTCTGATCCGTATAGTAGCACTGACTTCACATTGGAGTTGAAAATCCGGATCTTATTTTTGATGCTGATTGCTGTTGACCTCCACACAGATTTGAGAGTAATGAAAGCTTGTCTTGCTTTTCCGATTCTGGCTTTGATGTCCTCGTCAGTTCCGCCTGTAGTTGAGACGATGCTTCCCAGGTAGGTGAAGGAGGTTGTTTCTTTCAGGTTCTTCCCATTTATGCTTATTGTGGTCTGTTGTTGTTGTTGATGTTGGCTAGGAATCTTCATCATCTCTGTTTTATCTATGTTCACGTGAAGTCCTATCTTTGATGCTTCTTCTGCCAACTTGTTACTTTTCACTTGCATATCTTCCAGTTTATGGGAAATCAGACATATATCATCGGCGAAATCCAGATCCTCCAAGTCTTTTGTGTCAGTCCATTTTATGCCTGTTCCCTCGTTGGTTGCCGTTGTCTGTCGCATTATCCAATCAATTGCAATCAGGAAGATCATTGGTGATAGTAGACAGCCTTGCCTCACTCCCGTCCTCACTTCGAAGGCTTCCGTAAGTTTCCCGTTGTGGATTACTTGGCATGCAGCATTGTCGTATAACTGTTGGATGAGGTGTATAATTGTCGATGGGACCCCGTAGTAGCGAAGTAGTTTCCAAATGACCTCTCGATCGACGCTGTCGAAGGCCTTTTCAAAGTCGATGAAGTTGAGATAGAGAGGTGACTGCCATTCCAAGCTTTGTTCAATGATGATCCGTAGAGTGGCGATTTGATCAATACATGATTTGTTTCTCCTGAATCCAGCCTGTTCCGGACGAAGTTTTTCATCTAGGGCTTGTTTGATTCTCTCCAGGATGATGCGACTTAGTATCTTGCTTGGAATGGACAGAAGCATAATTCCACGCCAGTTTTTACATTGACTTAAGTCTCCTTTCTTTGGAAGTTTGAATAAGTAACTGTTCTTCCAATCCTCGGGTACTTTGCCCTCTTTCCACACCTTCTCCAGCAGTGGTGTCATCAAGTCCGCTGTTGTCTCTGGGTCTATTTTCAAAGCCTCTGCTGGGATTCCATCTGGTCCCGGTGTTTTCCCAGCTTTAAGCATCTTGATTGCATTCAGGACTTCTGATTTCGTCGGGGGGTCAGTGTTCACTGGTAGTTCTGCTTCCGTTGTTGGTATTGCTGGACGTGTTGTAGGTGGCGGACGATTTAGAAGTCTTTTGAAGTGTTCAACCCAGTGCTTTCTCTGTTCCACCTCTTTGGTGATTGACTTTCCATTGTCGTCCTTTATTGGCTTAATCTGTGTCGAACGTTTGCCCGAAAGGTTCCTAGTTGTTTGGTAGAGTGTGGCGAGGTCTCCTTTGCCTGCAGCTTGTTCTGCTTCGTTTGCCATGGTTTCATAATATTTTCTTTTGTCTTCCCTGGCACTTTTCTTCACTCTTTTGTTCAGTGTATTGTAGCTTGCATTCAGCTCCTGTTTTTGTTGCTCGTCAGTGCACTGGATAATCTTTTGCTTCACTGTCCTTCTCTCTTCTATTAGTTTCCAAGTGTCCGTAGTGAGCCACTGTTTGTCCTGTCTCTTTTTTCTGCCTAGAATTTCTATGCAGGTTTGGCTCCACACCGTTTTCAAGTTGTTCCAGTGCTTTTCGACGCTGACCTTTTCGCTGGTGTTGATTTGTATCTCAGCTTTGTCCTTTATGCTTGCAATGAAGATGTCCTTTGTAGCCTGGTCCTTCAGCTTTTGAGTGTTGAACTTGGCTTGTGGTCTATCTGCAGCTCCTGATTCCCTGAAAGCTTTTAATTTGATTTGGATTGTCCCTTGTACGAGATAGTGGTCTGAGCCAACGTCTGCTCCTCTTCTTGCTTTTGTGTCCAGTAGGCTGCGCCTCCACTTCCTTGAGATTGAGATGAAGTCGATTTGGTTTTTGGTTTGCCCGTCTGGTGACACCCATGTAGCCTTGTGGATATCTTTGTGCTTGTATACACTGCCACCAATCACCAGTTCGTTGAAGGCGCAGAAGTCGGCGAAGAGTTCTCCGTTTTCATTCATTTCTCCTAGAGCTTCTCTACCCATGATGAGTTCCCTTCCCGTATTGTCTGGTCCCAGTTTGGCGTTCATGTCTCCCATTAGTATTTTCATGTCGCCAGCTGGAGTATTGTCCATTGTTGCCTGTAGTTGCCTGTAGAATTCTTCTTTCTTCTCGAGGTCTGCGTTGTTTGTGGGTGCATAACATTGTATGATTGACACTTTCCTTCCTTTGGAGTTGAACCTGGCGGTCATTATCCTGGACGAAATCGCCTCCCATTGTATCAGGGCTTTCGTTGCCGTTGGTGACATCATGATAGCCACGCCCTCGGTGTGCGTGTGGTTATCTTCTGGGTGACCGGAGTAGATCACTGACTCACCTGTTGACAATTTGGTGAGTCCACTCCCATTCCATCTGCTCTCACATATTCCCAGCACTTGTATTCCGTATCTTTTCATCTCGTTGGCGATCTGGGCAGCTTTCCCAGTCTCGTACATAGTTCGGACGTTCCATGTTCCTACACAGACTTTTTCTTTTGGTGCAAGGAGGTTCATCATACTGAAGTTTCTGTAGCAATTTTTGTTTACAGGGTGGGGTTGCTAGCCTCACGCCTGAGAAAAGAATGATTACATTAAGTAAAAGTTTAGAGAGAAGCAACTTTTTGGGTTGCTCCCCTCAAAATCAGAAAATAACGGACAAACAATGAGAACAACATCAACAAAGGAAACAGTTCACAGAAAAAAGGGCAAAAAGCGATGAAAAATAATGATGGAATTATATAAACGAAGTTGGGAAGTTGTATGATTATCTTGATATGATTATGAGCAATAAATTGTGCTCGAAATGTCATCAGTAAACATTACTGTATAACACTGTGAGACTTTATCAAAACAAAATTCACCCTTAATGGAGTTAATGGAATGAAATTTTATCTGGAAAGAAGATAATTCACAGCACAACAATGGATTACGCTTACGAACGCAAAATAAGCCTCTGAAGTATGCGTGTCAAATAAATGTTTTAATGCTCTCGGTGGACTTAAATTCACAGTCGAGGAGGAGGAGTCTAAGCTTGGAAGAGAGTCGTCTAGGTGATCAATGAGGAGACTGCACATAGTCTCAGGTCAGATAGAGAGAGGTCGTCTTTGGCAGCTTGATGCGATCACAACCTATATCTAGCCATCGCTCTGTCATCCAAGCCTTGTTTCAGATAGATCACATTACTATCAGCTTCTAATTGCTTGGGAGCATACAGGACTACCTCTTTCTTCTCCAGAAAATTGTCTATACGGATCAGAGACTTGGTGCGTCATAAAGAGCACCTCAAACAAACTACAGACCTTCATTAACAGCTGTTTTCGAGTTGGTCGTCAATGCAAGGGTGACATGGAGGAGGTCATGTGAAGAGGAGATGAAAGCATGTTGGCAGACAGATGAAAACTCTAGCAATGAACTGAACGCAGTGGAGACGCGCGGCTGAAGCCTTATGTTCCCCTAGGAATTACAGAAAATAATAATAAAATTGTCTGGATTTCGATTATGCTTTAATTTGTCAGATTATTTGATGATGGTCACAAATAGTGTCCTCAGAAGGTTGACGTAAGTAAGCTCGCAGCACCTACTGCCTCTGCGAAGTGCGAAACAAGCTAGAGGCATGACTATTTGCCTAGAACGATAATGGCTACTTATACAATACACTACGAAATCGGTAAGTAAAACCTCTAACGGCTTACGAAAAAGCTCTGTTAAAAGTCACTAAGTTTGAGTGAGTGTCTTACAACATTTTTGACGCCTATCAGTCAGTCTACCAAAAACCTAGTCATCAGAACGCGCATATCACATAGACTCAGCAGTTTCATGTAGCAACTGTCGGAAAGAGTTCCAGCTCATCCAATCCCCTGGCGGTAAGAAGCACGGTGTTAGCAAGATGATTCTTGAGGCAGATGGTATTGGCGACTTACAACTTGAAGAGATACCTGAAACTCCTTGGCTTATTAACAACGCAAGCATTGGCGTCGTTTACTCGTTTACTTGCCGGTAGATGAGTAAGTGCGGTAAACAGTGAAGATTGAGTCTGAGGGTATAAAACGTCACCGCTATTAAAACATCAAAGCTTGAATTCCCTTCACCCCTTATATTCCATTTGGGGTACACGGAATAACAGAGAAAGATAGAGATGGTATTCCGTTATTTACGCTGTAAAACGCACACTGCTAAACTGTCAATTGTGATTCTACTGTTGATTATAAAAATAGGCAAATTATTGATCGATGATTGATTGACTTACTTTTATGTTCTTTATTTTCCTTATTATAGGATCAAAATTGGTTCAATTTTCTCATGGATTCAAATGGCTAAAGATTTACTCATGATTCGTCTGAGGTATTCTCTAGGAGCCTGGAAAATTGAACCAGTTTATACATAATGTCTTATTGATGTAGTAAACATTCCTTTAGTCATAATAATAATATTATTACTATAATCATCATCATTATTATTCTTTTCAATGTATCGTGTACATTCCTACTTGATATTCGTGTATTTTATATTTTTATTTTCCTCTTCTCCCACTTCTTCTACTTCTGTGAAGTTCCATTCCAATTATTGCATAAATTAAGTCTCCTTTTCTTCTCTTGTCATATTCTTCTATTACTCTACTTATTATTAAACAAAACTGTGTACTGCTTCTGGTAATGACACACTGGAAAGTAATTTCCTTAACTACAACTTGTACGCAGGATTATGCGAGAACAAGATGGATTGTTGTATAATCATTATGACTAAAATTTCGGACAGGTGATAGAGTATCAGTGGTGTCTTGTGTGTGTTTTAAACTCAGTTATCCAGAGCAGATTTATTATGTACGTATGAGGCTAAGAGCCACGCTTATCGTATGATGATCCAGTTACCGTACTTGCTGAATTAGGGCTCGTCGACTGAATGAATACCGAGTCCTTGAGCAGTAGAGTGACGATAGAAGACAAGAGACTTATTAATGGAATGTTTATTTGCATTCTGATATACACATGGAGAAATAACGTATAAAACTTGGGCGCTGTAGTAGATTATAGATAAGATTTTATTTTGATAAATCACACAGTGGAGTGTTATACAGTAATATTAACTGATGACCAAGCACAAATTATTACTGCTCATAATCATGTCACTCACTCACACAACTTGTTTCATTTATATACATCTGTATGTCTGTTTTCGACATTGAACTTTGCACATATGTGCGGAAGTTCAAGTCGCCACACTGCGTGTAGCACACAAAGCAAAAGAAGAAACTACAAGAAAAGCATAATAGAGACAGTAAGCAGAGGGGTGAGACAAAGGAGGAATAATAACGAAGAACAAAACAGTTTCATTGGAAATCATAAGTCACAAGGAGTGCATGCATCTGCACCAGCCACTGAGAACGATTTTGAGCCATGTCACCAATTGTTTCCAACCATAGATTTTTACCGTCCCGAGGACCCTAACTGGTCAGGAAGTCTACACCTTCCTACATGGCTTAGACTAACTGTTGTGGATTTCATTGACTGGTGCCATGTTTTAGTTTGACCTCCCCTAACTTTTTTGCAGCCTGACCCTATATCAGTTAACATTGCACGTCGGTCGAGGAAGGCGATGACTAGGAATACGTAACACATGTCCTAACCATCTCAGTCTATGTAACTTCACAGCCTCGTCGATCGATTTCCCCTCCTTACCTAGCACTCGACCGATGCCTAACCTCAATATTGCTCACCTTATTATGCCACTTTACACGGGAAATAGAGCGCAGGCACCTATGAGCAAAGATAGCTAATCTTGTCGTGTCTTCCACTCTCAGTGGCCAGGTCTCACGACCATAAAGGAGGACGGAGCGGACTGATGAGCAGTACACCCGCCCTTTGGTCGATAGTCGAACATCTCGTCTACGCCAGAGTCGGCGTAAACTGGCAAATTTATATACAATGTGTGGAATTGCCAGATATTTGCAAAAGAAATAACTCAATGCAAATACCAGAAATATGGAAGATATTATTATCGCCAGTCAGTCAAATCAGAGGAGGATAATAAATAATCTCAAATTTCATTTCAATTCACATACATCATAACATTCTTGTAATAAAAAGTCGGTAAAGAGGAAAGGTTGGGCATGAGGCTAGCAACCTTATCCTGTAAAAACGTAAACCCTGCTATAGAAACTTCAAGCCACTAGCTTGAAGCTCTATGTTCTACTGAGAACGTGAAGGGAAAAAAAACTAGTGTGATGCGTATAGTCCTCTGATTGATATAGACTGAATTATATCAGTCAGGTTGTAATGTGACCACCATTCTAGCTAGCTCACCATCACACCTTGCTGACGAGTGCCAACTAACACGAAACCTAGGTCCAGGCAAGGCTTCCTGTGGCCGACTGCCTCCAACTATCTAGTATAGCATCGAATTAATGTGCACCGTGATGGTGAGCTACCTAGTGGTATGGTGGCCACATTACAACCTGACTGACTGATAGAATTCAGTCTGCACCCAAGAAAGAGGACTCGACACATCACACTAGTTACAAGTTGATAGGATCCCACATATTTTGGTATTGACTGTTTAATTTTGTATATATGGTACATTATCATTCTCACACATTTTGATAGTGACTGCTAATCTTGTATATATGGTATATGATCATTCTCACGCACTTTGTTATTGGCTATTAAGATAAATTATTTCAAATGCTGTTAGCTGTCCATATTGTTGTAAAATGTATAAATACCATGGCTTTCTTTATCGTTGTTGCACTTCAATACACAGTCACAGTCCAGCCTTTGTCTTTTGATATTTGCGTGCTTTACTAAGTCGGAAGGTACGACGAGCAGATAGACAGATTAGTTCAGGCGCAGACAGAATAAGGTGAAAACGTCTTCATTCAATATCCTACAGCTATAACAAATTGGCGACGGGGTTTACCTTAATTCAGTGCAGTTATAACAAATTGGCGACGGGGTTTTACCTTAATTCATCGCAGTTATAACAAGCAAACGACGACAGTTTTTATTCTGTTCAGCGCAACTATATAACATTTTTGACTGTGTTAATTACAACCCAATTACAATGTCTATCTCTCTGGACGATCTCAAATCTATCTTGCAGCAGCAGCAAGTTCAGAATGAAGCAGCTCAACTAAAATTAATCGAAGCTCTCACTCAGAAGCTGTCTATTCAAGTTCCATCGACATCTCATTCTGACAAATATGAAAGCATCTCAAATTCTATCAGTGAGTTCAACTACGATCCAATATCTGGTCTCGTATTTGATGCATGGTTCAATCGTTACGAAGACGTCTTCCGTATTGAATGCTACATGTTTGATGATGCTGCCAAAGTCCGATTGTTCCTAAGAAAACTTGGTACTGTTGAGCACAACAGATATGTTAACTTCATTCTGCCCAAGAACCCACGTGAGTTATCATTCGATGAGACAGTCACCGTTTTATCACAAATCTTTGGTGAACAGTCATCCATGTTTAATATTCGGTATCAATGTTTTCAGTTGACAAAAATGCCTTCCGATGATTATGTGACTTACGCTGGCAAAGTGAACAAAGAATGTGAAAGGTTCAAACCACACGAAATGACATCAGATCAATTCAAGTGTTTGATTTTTATTTGTGGGTTGAAGAACCCAGAAGATACTGACATACGAACTCGACTTCTGTCACTTGTGGAACAAGACCCGAAAATGACTTAACAAATGGTGACAGCAGAATGCCTACGTTTAATCAACTTGAAGCACGATACTGCTATGGTGGAGTGCAAACGACATTCGTCTGAATTTGGTTCGATTAACACAGTGAAAAGTCCTCCGATCACCGTTAAGCACACGGAACGTCAGTCTCAAAATTCAGCTAAACCTCCTTCAGTGTGCTGGCACTGTGGTTCGTGGCATTTTGTCAAGTTCTGTCCTTTCAAGAAACATAAATGCCGTAATTGTCACCGTTTTGGACATAAGGAGGGTTTTTGTACACCGCAGAAAAATTCTTCGGTGAGGAACTGTTATGTTCTAGTTTCCCCGTCGCCAAATTGTTATGTACTCATCGCTAAATTGTTGGTATGGACTGGTCGAGAAACTAATAGTCCTGACGCGAGAAGGCGGAAATCAGAAGACCACTAGGTTTGCGATGATACTTCTATTGTCCAAACACAAGGAGACGAAAATAAATGGTCTCACACCAAAGTGGTAAGTAAGTCAAGTAGTTGTAAAGTAAAGTAGTTCACACAAATTGTGAATGCGAATATATATAAATAATTCAGACAAGCGTGGGAAAAATCATTAGACAGTCTTAACATGAATGGCTAATTATAATGGAGTGTCGATCCAATTATACATAGCGAATATAGCAGACATGCCAACAAACATATATGGATATATGTCACCAAGCAACGGACTGTCAACAAACACTCATATTATATATAATATAATATAAGGAGAATACACATTATTAAAGGAGACAAGTCCATACAAGTGAAGTGGTCACAGACTAACCGAGCAAACAGAAAGAGAGACCAACATGCACACACACACATAAATATATATATGTGGATACATATCACCTCCCCTTTTGAGAAGATGGATGATTAGTAGGATGTTTACCTGGGGGTTTATCTGGGACCTTTGGGCTTGTTGTTGACGCCTGTCGTTTCGTCTGATTGTTGGGTTTGCGGCTTCGGCTCCGTCCGGAATTGTCTAGCATTTTATGCTTCTTCACTGTATTGCGTAGAGAATTTAGTGGGACATCAGCCAGATGCAAACGATCGAACCAATCAAGTCCCAAAACATTTAAATCATTCTTCGTGACGTAACAAATTCCTGTGAATTTGGTATTGCGGAAGGAAACAGAACATTTGAGTTCACCAATAAGTTTGAGCCGCCCACCACAGGCGCTGACAAGAGACTGGGAAGTATTGGTGATAGGTGGTCTGCCAATATAATTCCAAAGTTTCTCTGATATAACAGTAATATCAGAGGCGGTATCTAGCTGCAGACGAGTATCATGACCATTCATCTGAAGGTCAATATATTTCCGCATAGCTGGTGTTGTGACTTGACGGGTTGCGCGTAGACTCAATGACTTTTTGGGGGATTTAGGACCAACATTTCGTTGAGCTTTTGCTGGATTTTGATATCTGGGTTTGCGTGGCTGACAAAAACCATTTTTGTGACCGATGATCTTGCACTTGCTGCAACGATGATTTTTGTATGGGCAAGACTTTACAAAGTGCCACGCGCCACAATGCCAGCATGGTGATGGAGGGGTCTTCTTTGCAGTATTTTGTGAAGTTGGACGAGTATGTGTAGATTTCCGCGGAACATTAGAAGAAGTAGGTGG